GTGGGAAGGATCTAAGGCGTAAGGTCCGTTTTTATTTTTTTTGAAAACTTTCGAAACAAATTGTGAATTTTTAAAAAAATTTGTCTTTCTTTTCGAGTTTCTTTTTAATTTACATGTGAACGTGGGGGTTGTGCTGGAATGTTGTTTCAAAGATTTGCTGGACCTAGTTCACTATGGTGATTTATGTATATATGTGCAGCCTTGTCGCTTACTTACAGCTCACAAAAATGATATATATTTCACAGTAGCGTGTTTTAAAATACTCATTTTTTTGCTCGAGCTTCGAGGTTTCAATTTGCGGAATAAAATAGTCTAATTTGAGATCAAATCGTCAAATTTTTCTTTTGACAAAAAATCTCAATAGTTAAATTTTATTCACAATGGTTTCTGGTTGTCTGTTTGCTTTTTTGAAAGACTTTGTATCACTTGCAAGAGCCAGTATATTTTCAATCGGGAACTAGACTTTTCCCTTAAACAACTTTTACAAATCTGTTAGAAGTTGACTTAGCTTTATTAAGGAATACAAGGTTTGGGGATAAAATTCCGGCCGTAGTTTGTTATACATCAAATTTTAAAACATGCATGAATAATTTTTAAAAATGCTGCTATTTAACATTTAACTAGAGACGTCAGAAAGATGTTGTTAGTGTCAAAACATCCCCGTAATTCCCTAAGCAATTTGAATTTTTGTACTTAAATAAATTCGTTAGGAAGATGAGGATCTAACCAAGGTCTTCAAATAGGCTTCAATTCACATAAAACTAATACAAAAAGCTACTCAACTTCGAAAAAAATGTCTTAAAAAAAATAGCTGAGTTTTCAGTCATTTTCGGTCTAAGAGCTTAACAAATTGTCAGGTCTTCTTTATCTGAAATTAAACATGCTTGAGGACCTTGCTTACATCCCTAGCTTCCCAAAGAATACATATAAGTCTGAAAGTTTAAATTTCTTTTGTTATATGGGTTTCTTGGCACTAACAGCAAATTTCTGACGCCCTCTAGTTAAATGGCCCAGCAACGCCTTAAAAACAATTTTTTTTTTCGGTATTTTCTCCTCCATACTCTATAATAAACAGTTCCATCCAACATATATCAAAATTTCAACCTCGAATCTCTTCTAGTTGTTTCGACTTTTTAGTTCTTTCGACTTTTTACAATTTTTCCTGCTTAATTTTCAAAGAAAAAATTTTGGCTTAATCTTTTTTATTGTTATATTTCCAATATCGTGTGATACAATGCATTAGTTGTTTTGCAAATGTTGCGAAGCTCCGCTTCGCCTCTGCAATTTTTTTTTCTGCGAAAGTTTTCAATCCGTTTTTTGGTTTCCAACCTAGTAGGAGTTCTTTTACACTTTTCCAACTTTCTGTTTGCTATGTTTCATATTATTGATCCCTGTTATTGTAGCTCTATTTTGCTGCAAGATAATTTTTTTTGTCAAATTTGATCATTTTGTTTTTCAGTTCGCCGTTCGTGTCGTCGCTTCGGGATGCGAGAAGTGGGCGATGATGAAGACTGGATGCTCTACTGGTGTGACACTTCAGTCTCTCTCCAGAGGGTCATGGAGATGAAGAAATACCAGGTAGTCCAGATGAGATACGATTAAGAAAATGAATCGATGCCAAAAATTGCTTTGTCCGAAATTGGCTCTTATTGCAAAAGTCATCATGAAAGATAATAGTAAATTTATGAATTTTAGTTCTGGAAACCCATCAATAGTTATGTTTTTAAATCCTTCAATCCTACAGATGCTTGAGGCTCTAAATTCTACAATAGGTTTTAGAAGTTAATTTTGGCGACAAAAGTTCAGAGTTTTTTTTATATCGATTTTTGAAAGTAATTTTACTGTATCTGTAATTGCGTTTTTGTCGTTACAAAAATTTAACTGAAATCTTCCGTAATGATTTGAAACCTCTTGACGACACCAAGCTCGGTTATTTTGGCAGTGATCTGCATTTTAAGAAAATGTTCCCTGGAACCAACATATTTTGCACAGAATTCATCAAAATTTCGAAATTCTTTTCAGTCAAATTTATTATAGATTGTAGTGACAAACCAATAATAATAAATATGCGTTAAAACTAGTGTGCAATTATTTATCTCTTATCATCGGATTTCACGGACAATAAATAAATTGTGGGTATTTTTTTGTGCAGTCATCATTCTTCAGTCGATTCCTATGAGAAACTTCTCCAAAATGGGGACTGGCGTATTAACATGCGTGTCGATTAGCGTGCCCATGTAAATAATGTAATTTGAAGACGCGTTCTTTTACTTAAGAAAGTTTTCAAATTTGCAATTTTTTCAGCCCAAAACTCTTCAATTGCGCGAAAGTAGAATTGTTATTTCCCATACAAATCAAGTAGTTTTTGAAATTACTTGAAAATTTAGGCTAATTTGCCTTTCATCTCAATGCGCACCCAATTAGAGCAACTCTTGCATGAGAATAGGCACACATGCTAATCGCTAGGCCCCCTCTAAAATAATGCAGCATATGTATGTGGAGTTCAGAGGCGTGAAAACACAATTATAACAACGTAACGTTATAATAAACCCAGCTTGATGTCTTAATGCTAACAAAATGTTTTTTTTTTGCATTTCAAAATATTTTATTTACTGCCTTTTTTTAGCAAATAGCAGTCAAAAGATTTTAAAAAATAAACCCATAATTGAAGTTTCAGCTTTTTTTTAAACTTTTTTAATGCTCATAAGTTTACCAAATCCGATCAAGTTTTCCGTTTAAAATTTTGCTCAGCTTGATGTTGCGTTGTCTGCAGGATGAAAAATTTTCTCATGCGCATGTTTGCTTTTGAAGGGCGGGCTCAAAAAACTTCGAGTTTCAAAAGTGTATCATCGCTCGAACTTAATATGACCTCAATTTGTTTGTCGGCTAGCTTGCCATCCTATGCATTGTGATGTATCGTGTCTGTGTGGAACCTTTGGAAACTTAATTCAGATTTTTTTTAATATTAAAACACGGTCAAAAGTAATTTTTTCCATCTCAATTTTAATTTATTTTAACTCTAATTAGATTTTTTGGAGTGGGTGTTCAAAATGGGTGTCAATACTACCAAAAGTGAACTCTTTGGGTGGTGATTCCAAGTTTGCATTTCTCAAAAGTTGGAAATGCAAACTTGGAAGCCATGTTGTATTCTAAGATATCACGATCCTGTAAGCGATGCACGAGTTTCAAAGCTGAACTTCACCCAAGCTTTGTAATTCTAATGGGATCAAGTTCTTGTATTAAATTGAACAGCGTAGATCCTCTGTGTTTTATAGAGAATCTTTTTTTTCTTTTTTTTTGATGAATTGTTATTTGGATCGGTATTTGAATCGCCTTTTCCCGTTGAATTGGTATTTGGAAGGGGAGGGACCGTATATAAATACTTGGCTTTTAAGCGAAAAATTTCTTCTTTGAAATTGACTCAAATCCAAATACAAAATTTTTTTTGTTCAAAATTGCTCATATAACTGATTTTTTTTTGAAATTTTGAGCATCATTGATGAACTCTTAGAAATTTTTTTTTGTTTTGGTGATTTTTCAAAAAAAAGACCAAAATTAGCGGACAATTAAGCTGACATGCTAAAATCATTGATATTTGTTCAACTTCTTTCAACTCGCAAAAAGAAACATTATAAAACGTTGACTGATTTTCAAACTATTTTTAATATTCTGTCAACTTTTATCAAAGCAGTGTTAAGAGTCTACTTAGGCAAAATAATCAGGCAAATTAGTGTAATTGGCATCAAAGCTGCCACAAGGAAAAACATCGGCAAATTGTTTTCAAATTATGCTTTTGCAAAAAAGTCTTTTCTTCGGTTGCAATACCCTCACTCGTCACTCACCGCAAAGGTAAAAAGTTAAGTGGGTAATTAAGACGAATGGTCATAAGTTGGAATGGTTTGAGTGGAAAAAGTTTTTCTTGAAATTTTTCAAAAAATAAGTAGTGAAGCAACATCCTTAGAGAGTGCGCATTTTTGAGCATTATATTTTTTATTTTCTACTCTTTTATTGGGACTAAAAGGTTTTTGCTTATGCTTTATCGACTTAGAGGCTTTTTTGAGTCATTGGAGGAGTAAGAAAGTTTTGTTTAATTAGTTCAAGGTGGAACTTAGAATTTTTTGAATTTTAAAACTGTTCTAATAAAATCAGTTTTTATCGGCGCAACGTGTGTCTACTAAAACAGTCAGCTTTCTTATCACTTTATAAGTTTTGCTTTGATGTTTTTAATAGTTATGTATCTTTATCCGTGGCATATCTTCATGAAAGGAGTTTTTCTTCAAGACAAACTCAAGGCGAGTTTTGGAAAGTTTTTGGTAGACTAACTTTTTTGATTAGTTTTTTGATTTTCCTTTAATCTCTGTTTTTATTGATCAGTTTGCCCTGCTATGTTTGGGTTTTATCGCATGTAGGGCGATGTTTTGCTTTGCTTCTGTTTGTAAAGTTTCTTAAGTTGCAGTTATTGCATTTCCAACATTTATGATATTGTTGCTATTTTCATATTTTTTTTGCAAAAAAGAAATCGGAAGTTTTTTGCTCAATTTTTCGGTTCATATTTAAATAGTGAGAGACATTCATTTTTCTATTAAAAGTGGTGCGAAGGTCTGCTTCGCCTCTGTATTTAAAAAAAGGCTCTCGTTTCCGAATTTCTTGAACTTATTGACCTCTCGATTGCTGCCTCTACTAACTGCGCCATGTCTCTATAGCATCAATAACACCAGCAGGGCAGGATGGAGGCTTTTCCGGAAGTTGACATCTAACTGAACCCATGCAGCAGTAACCAGTGAATAAGTCCAAGAAGATTTCAGTTTGTAAGCTGCAAACTGAACCCTTAATAATGGATATGAAATAATTGGTGGAACTCAAAATCGTGTAAGCAATGAGTTCAACTCAGCTCAAAACTTGGAAATGCAAACTTGGAAGCCATGTTGTACTCTAAGATATAGCGATCCTGTAAGCGATGCACGAGTTTTAAAGCTGAATTTCGTCCAAGCTTTGAAACTCTAATGGGATCAAGTTCTTGTATTAAATTGAACAGCGTAGATCCTCTGTGTTTTACAGAGAACTTTTTTTTTGTTGAATTGTTATTTGGATCGGTATTTGAATCGCCTTTTTCCGTTGAATTGGTATTTGGATAATATACTATGAGCTCAAATCAATTGTTTAAATGATTACTGGTATGCAGTTTAATCAAAGATCGAAACGAAAACTTCAAAAGTTCTTGTCAGCTTGAATCGCTCCCCTTAACGTGCTTCATATGCCGAATTCTGTTAACAGTTTTTAAACGAAAAATCAGCCACTACCGAATTGCAATACCCGTGCTGTGCTGTTTACAAGATATGATTCAAAAATTTTGAAATTTACTATGGTTCGAGCTGGTGTTGCTGTTCGATAGTGTTTACTTGATTTTTCTCTACTTGATATCAATTTTCATGCACTCGATCTTTTTCAAGACACCAACCTTTTTTCAGTTCTTTCAGTTCTTATAATACTGTTTCCAGTCATGCAGGTGTCCGTAATCCGCTTAAAGCGACCTTAATTGAAACAAAATTTCCTTTTGCTTATATATTTACCACTTTTTGAAACGAGCGCACTGAATAATTTCTAACATATCAGGGTGGGAATAAGTAGTGAAATTTGAAATTTATTATTTTGTTGACTCCCTCCCTGGACCTTCAAATTAGAATGCTGATTTTTCATTTTGTCACCACTATTGTTTCTCAAACTTCATGAATGGATGATTAATAATAGAAGCCAGTCTTTTTGACTGCAATTTGGTTATAAAACGTTCTAACCGTTTATAAAGCATCAAATATGAAAATTGTTATGACAAAAAACCTTCTTTCAGTTCATTTTCAATGCAGCATTATGTTATTTAGACGACACTTGCTTGTCGAATAAACAAACCAAAAAAAACTTAAAAACTGGATAATGGCAACATTCGAAAAGATAATGGCAACATTCAAAAAATACATTCAATATGACTTGTGAATTGCTCAAACGTTGGACAGTTTTGAAAATAATCGAAGAGCAAAATGGTTTAAGTATTATATACGATATAACAGCAGCAGTCTTTTTAATTGCTTCTTAAGCTATCTACTTTTAAAGTAAAAATTTGTACCAAAAGATTGAAGATGTATTTTGAGTTCTAAAGAGAAATCTTGAACGGATATACAAATGTACATACATATTTTTTATGCAGCAAAAGATACCATACATTCATGTGGTGTACCTTAATTGGCGCTTTGTAGTTGACTGAATCTTATTTCTTAAACCTAGGTTTTTCGACGCATATGTTTTCTCATTACAATTTTTGCTGGATAATTTCAGATTGCTTATTTCAGTCAATCCTTCAGTACTCATGAAAAAATCGTAGTTTACAAAAAAAGAATTTCCTATATTGGTTTTATATAATTGTATAATTTATCATATAAACCTGGCAATCTCGTATAATCGTATATTTTTATGTCGTATAACGGTTTTTATATAACTTATCATATAACCGTACATTTGCCCAAAGCGGTTAACAAACTGTAAGATAACCAACGATTACTCTCACGCGCGCGGTGATCAAAGATTTATGAGCATGTCACTTAAATGGTAAAACTTGAGTTTAACAGTTTGCTTCCTCGCAAAAGTGGAAAAAGTCAAAAAATGCGAAAAAGAATCAATATAGCTTGATTACACAAGCTAAGCTTGTGTGATAAAAACGAACTCTCTTTTTTTCTAACCTAAGTCGCAAATATTAGTGCTCTTTTTGAAAATGCTCTTTTGTTGCAGTATATGCATAAGATCAATAACCAGCGATTAAGTACAGCCAAGGATATTTGCTAAGGATATTAACGCAGACTATTATATTACAAATAGCACTTTAGCTTTAAGGCATCATGGATCTATAGCGTAGAGGTAGGGAAGGAGACCAGCAGCAAAATAAGAGGGTTCGAATTTTGACAGGGTCAGATGTTTTTAATGAAATTTTTCGTAAACTAGTTAAGATTCGTCCGCTCTATAAATTGAGGCATGTTATTTGGTACCTTTTTTTTCAAATTGACTGGTACTGCTAGAGCGTCATAATTGGCTTGCATCACTTAGCAAATATGTAGACTCATAATTGGCGTGCGTCACTTTTGAAATTTTGTAGACTCAAAATTTTACCCATTCGGATTGTATATCAGGGCCAAGCACTGATTGTTTGGACTGCACTTAAGGCCAAATTCAAAAAAATTTTAGTTGAAAAATTGACGAAGTAATTGAAAAAAAGGAAAAATTTTTTTTCATTTTTTCAATTTATCCCCCCCCCGCACGCTAATGGAAATTACAAAGGGTTGTTGTATTTAGCGTCTTTTATTCTAATAATAAGACCAAACGACTTGCCTCACTTCAATTTTCAAGCATCAACCCGCCTCTTGTGAGTGTTATACGAACGCAAAATATCACGCGTTAGTTATTTCAAATTGGTCAAATTTGGTTATTTCAAAGACCCATAACCTTAAAAAAAAACTTCTCGTATATCAGGGTAAATCCCTGAATGTTCGTAAGGAATTTTCAGGCCAATTAAATTTTTTGTTGTTGTTAAAAAATTGACTAAATAATCAAAAAAAAACAACATTTTTTTTCATTATTTAATCCTCTACCAACTAATATGTACTACAAAGGGATGTATTTGGCGTCTATTCTACTGAGACCAAGTGGTTCGCCTCAATTCATGTCTGAACGCATAATCCGCCGCTTACTTGTGTTGTAAGAACGCAATAACTTGCGAATTTGTTATGCCAAATTGGCCAAATTAGCAGTTTTCAAACCGCCATGTTTTTTTTAATTACAACAGGTGAAGTTTGTTTTTGTTCCTATTTTTGAAAATCGTGACGGAATATTTGTGCTTTGGGTGTTTTTTTCTCCAAACAAATTTCGACTTTTAACTAGGAATTTTTCTATATCATCCAATAGGTATCATTGTCGAGCTCAAATTTAAAAAGATTTTTCACCTGTGATTGTTTTTCGTAAAGTTACTGAGTTAAAATATAGTCAATGTAGCCAAATATCTTGTGCTATAAACGCCCAAACGGAGATTTAAACCCTCTTAGAAATCCTTCCAAATTGAATTCCAGGCAATGCTATTTGGTGTCATTAAAACTTTGCTATTCGCAAAATATATCACTTTGTAGCTTTCATAAATAGCGTGTGGGTGGACGGTTTTCAAAAAAATTTTGAATTTTTTTTGTGGAAAACTTCAACTAGCGAACACTACTCAATAGAGTTTCAAATAAATGGGAATATTCAGGGCTTTGCCTTGATACCATAAGTCTCGTTACTTTTGAGCTTTGGATAACAATAAATTTCAGATGGTATAAAAAACCGTCTAAAAGCTTGATTAAACATTCGAAAATTGACTGAGAAAAAACCTGCCTACGCATATATTCCGTTTTCTTCTAAAGTCGGAACTATAATAAAGCATTGAAGAAATTCGACAAAAATTGCTGTGTAGTGATAAAAAAATTTTCTAAAGATGTTTTTAGATATTCTCAGACAATCCATGGTGTTTTTTAATCATATTTCGATTAGGTTCTGGGTTTTTGTTTCAATTTGATCCAATTTTATTATCCAGCTTAGAGTAAGGCTCAAGAGGCAGTCTGACCATTGTTTTTTTTTTCCGACTCCATGATAATACTCAGACTAAAAACGTGCGTTTTAGCGTTTCAAAGGTTTAAATTGTTCATCTAAATTGTTTAAATTGTTCTAAAGGGATAAAGAAATATAAAGAGGTTATTTGTTGTCTTTAGAAAATCAACCATTTCCCGGGCATGGCCGAGATCTGTCGGAAGGATCTGCTTGCCAGGAACATGAACAGGATGGTGAAGCTCTTCCCCAAAGACTATGCCATCTTCCCCAAGTCATGGTGTCTACCAGCCGAGTAAGTACCCCCGGTACAGTTACTGTCTACTGACTAGCCAAAACAGAAGTTCACTCGTAATAAAAACAACCTTTGTTTTCTTGGATAAGTAGAGAATGAAAACTTTGTTGTTATTTCGAAAACCGATTATTAATCTGCAATTCATGTTTGGATTGCTGCTGAACATGTGCTTTTTCCTTAAAAATAGTTACTCGATACCGTTTAAATGTTAAATTTCATTATGAAAAGAACGATTTTTAGCCTGTTTATGGAACATTTTACATGGAGTAAAAATGAGTTTTAGGCTGCTTATGGAACATTTTACATGGAGCAACTTTTAAAGGATCGGATTAAATTTTTAAGTATTTTCATTCAGTATTTTCTTTTATTTTCTGACCTTTTTTTGAGATTCAATTTGCTAGATATCATGATCATTTCAAAATTATTGTTCCAGTTTTGGTGACTTCCAAGCCTACACTAGACAGAAAAAGAACAAGACGTTTATTTTGAAGCCAGAGTCCGGCAGCCAAGGAAAAGGCATATGGATCTGCAAGAACGCCAAGGATATCAAACCCAACGAACATGCCGTCTGCCAGCAATATGTATCCAAGGTACATCAAAGACTATCAAAGGAAAGAGGTCTACCATCAAGGGAAAAGACCATCAGGGCCTTACATTCTACTCGTATAACCACCCCACCAATGATTAAAGAGTATTCACACCGTGCCTTTTGTGCCTTTTGACAAGTTTAAGGGTCAATTAGTAAAATTTGGATGTCGAAAATGGAAGCAAAAATCCAGCATGCTAATTTTGTGCCAATCCTACTTTATTATTTCTACTCGGTATCAAGAACTGTTTTAGCCCCTTTTGGTCGACGGGTTCAAGTTTGACCTCAGAATCTACATATGTGTGACTTCGTGTGATCCCCTGAGGATATACGTATGGAGAGATGGACTTGCTAGATTTGCCACTGTCAAATACGTCGACCCCACATCCCAAAATGCCGTAAGTTTGACTGACCCATTGTTTTCCGCGACTCTGATCGTTGCTTCTCTCTTGCCAACCAAACTGCATTCAAAAATTTATGTTATCTGAAATAATAATCGAAAAAGCCGCATAATTATTCAATACTAACCACAATCAATATATTCTCTTACTTTTTGGAATCATGAAAGCTTGTTTGCTAAACGAAAAACATAGGCGATGGAATCGTTTGCAAAAAGAAAGAAAAATCAGATTTTTTTCCTCAAAATTTTGTAATCAAATAAAATCATATTACTGATAGCTTAAGGCATAAAGCTCCATTCGCTGATTTGTTTTAACTTATAAGAATCAAATGAAAAAAAATTAATTCTTAAATCGTTGAAAAAAAAATATTTAAAAAAATTTCAGGAAATAATTTGGGAAAATGTTTTCGAAACTCAGTTACCCGCTCCAATACAGGAATAAATCAAAATAGAATACCTTTTAATTAAAATAAAATTTGCTTAAATCAGAAGAAAATTTCAAGGAAATTTAGATAGAAAATTGGCAAACAAACGATAGCCCGAATCAGGCAGAAAAAAAATGTAGCAGGAACTGCTAATAAAACTGACAATTTTTGTGAACAAATTTTCAATGCGAGAGTTATCGTCTAGTACCCGATTGTAATGCCCTTGCTAGGTTCAGAAGATTAACTGTATATATGATCTCAGCTAATAAAAAAGTGTACCAGTTTTTTAATTTTTTTAATAGATTTTTTTATTAAATTATTGAAAAATATTTATTTTTGCAGCGCTTAGAGACTGAGGTAAGTGTTCTCGCAATTCTTTGAGTTTCTCTCGCAGTTCTTTGAGGTTCTGCATGCAATAACAGCTATTAGAGCATCGCAAGTCGTGGCATAATATGGTGACATTGCCAGTCTTATTTAAATTAGGTGTACCGTAAGTAATGTGTACCTGGGTAAAGTGTACCCGGTCGCCGTGCATAATGTACCGAGCTAAAGTCTTTGAAAATCTTGCATTTTCAAATTTTGTATGAGACTGGGCATCTAAATATTTTCTATAATATTGTATTTTCAAAAGCAACGCTTGAGTTATAACACGAGCCCGCTTTTTCCTGATGTAAATCGCATGTTTCTCTGAACTTTTTTTCTTCTGTTTTTCGCTCAGTTTTGATTACCTCAAACAAAACTCGTGTCGAATTTGGTATCATATCAAAGCTCTCTTTGTCGTAATTTAAATTCCAAAAATGATGATCATGTCGAAATTTGATATCCTGAACGTAATTTTTGATGACACCCAAAAATGTGAAATATGTAGAAATCAAATTTAAAATTTATTTTCTGTTTTTCTGGGTTTTTTCATTAGAAAATGTAGTCGAAACAATCTTTGCCACTTGCGCAGCACAGCAGCTGACCATCCCTGCCTAGTTTTTTGTACGGTGTAGTATCTTTTTGGATAGGATTTTAAAAAGCAGACAAATGTTCACTCGCTTAAAGCACATTCATTGTCGCTCGTATTTCTGGTAAATCTGCATGGCACCGGGCAATTGATAGACCAAGTGAACTTTCTCCGCCTTAAAACTTTTTTTCGAACTTTGTAATTTAGAAACTCTTTTTTATGTAAATGCTTATGTTAATCGACAGAAAAATAAGCCGAATAACTCAATTTGGGAATAACTATTTTCGAACAATTGAACGATCACCCCTCCCCACAATCTGGTATAGGGTACAAAGTTCAATTGATTACTGGAACAATTTAATGTTTTTTCAGTCAATCAGAAACGAGCAGTTTAAGCGAAACGAAACGCGAAAATTAATCGCGTTTATTTTTTTGCCCAACTCGTTCCCTAAAATTCTAGTTGTTTTTTTTAAGTAAAAGCGATTGAATTTATTAAAAAATGCAAGGGGGTGAAGGACGCATCTTTTCATTGCGAGGCATTACTTTGGAGACTTATTTTCTCAAAGCATGTGCACGGAGTTCGTGTACTTATAAGCACAAAAGTGTGCTATGGAAAAATAACACTCCTAGGTCTCGTAATGCTTAAACACCCAAAGTTTTCCTCTTTTGGTTTTATTTTCCGGCATCCAATCGAGCCTACAGCTGTTCTAATGGCGCCTTTCGAGTCAATATATTTTAATGTTGAAATGTTTAGAGGAAGCGCGCGCCGAAAAAACGCAATTTTTCTATTTATCCTGTTTTTTCAAAGTTTTCCTGTGGAGAAAAGAATTTTGTCAAAACCCTGTCGATACATGTTGTTTTAAGAGAACTCGGAAAATCAATGTTGGTCGATTTAAAAAATATCATCAAAATAGTGTTTTTATGGTGTTTCAGGAGAGCTCGGAAAATCGATCTAAAAAGATCATCGAAAATCGTTCCCCTCGAGAAAATCCTAGCTCCGCCTCTTGGTAGACGAAACAAAACAACTATCTTCCTTCCATAATAGCGCCGCTAAAACCAAGAAAATATAAACAGTTCCGTGCACAATTTTGACCGCGATTGCTTAGTTTTCTCAGTTTTTCAAATCTTATGAAAACAACTATTAAGATTGGTGAATTTCCAGGATGATTTTAAGGAATTTTTGCGGGGAATTTTTTGATGATTCTTAAAAATAGTGCATAGGTAGAAGAAGTGCGTAGTCTTGTGTTTTTGCGTTATTTTTACACAAGCATAGCTTGTGTTATAGTATGAACTTGCTTTTCCCAACCTAAGTCGCAAATATTGGTGCGATGCAATTGTTGCGACAAAGTGTATTCATTTTGAAAGTGTTCATTTGGATCCAGCTATTCAGTACAGCCAATGCTAAGGATATTAACACAGAATATTATATTACAAATAGCACTTTAGCTTCAATGTATCATGGTTCTGCAGCGTAGAGGTAGGGAAGGAGACTAGCAGCTAAATAAGAGGGTTCGAAACTGGGCAGTGTCGGATGTTTTTAATGAACTTTTTTGTATACTAGTTAGAATATATCCTCGCTATAAAATGAGGCATGCTATTTGGTAAATTTCTTTTCAAATTGACTGATACTGCTAATGCATCATAATTGGCTTGCGTCACTCAGCAATTTTGTTGACTCATAATTGGCGTGCGCCACTTAAGAAATTTTGTTGACTCAAAGTTTTACTCATTCAGTTTTTCCCAGTAACGTTGTCGGTCATGTTTTTGCTTGTGTATGCGAAGTGCAACTTTGCCTCTGTGTCAATATTGCTGACGTAGTAGTTCTCAAATATGACATTCTTTTTGTGTAGGATGAAGTCTTCATGCACTTGACAAACTATGCTATCAACAAGACTTCGAAGGAATTCATCAGAGACGAGGAGCACGGGAGTAAGCGCAGACTGAGCACCCTCTACCGGCAGATGCAGGAGCAGGGAGTGGATGTGGACAAACTGAAGAACGACATCAATGACGTCATGATCAAGACCCTGATTGCGGCACATCCCGTGCTCAAACACAACTACAGGACATGCTTCGCCAACCACATCAAGGTCAGCTTACAGTCTCTTCCGATTTCAAAATCTGTAGATACAATTGTTATAGAGACAGCTAAATTTGAATTTCACTAAGTTAACTGAACGTTTTGAAATTTCTGAACGTTTTGCTCTTAATTTGAAGTCATCCCTTAAGGGTTGTATAATACGTTTGAAATATACGTTCAAAACAGGGGCGGATTTAGGGGTGGGGGCAGAAAGTGCCCAAAAACGGCTTTTTGACCTGTTTTTTCAAAAATTTCCAAAACAGCGTCTTTTTACTGCATTAGGAGAGCTCCGAAAATCAATTTGGTCGACCTAAAAAAAAGTCGAAAATTTTTTGAAAATCCGTCCCTCCCTCGAGAAAACCCTGTATTCGCCCCTGGTTCAAAAATTATAAGATTTTATTTTGACAAGTTTTAAAACATCTGTCAAATCGAATTTCTAGGACACGCAACAAGTAAAAAAAGATTTGTCAAGTAAACTTGAAAGACACCAGAACAACTTCTCGGCATCATGTACTTTTTCGACTATAGATTCAATTAAGATCTAAACGTGACTGCTGGTGTTTTCAGGGCAGTGCGTGTTTTGAGATCCTTGGCTTCGACGTGCTTCTGGATCGGAAGATGCGTCCGATAGTGCTGGAAGTGAATCACTCGCCCTCCTTCTCCACCGACTCCCAGCTGGACCGGGAGCTGAAGGACAACCTGGTGCTGGACACCCTGGGACTGCTCAACTTCTCCGCTTCAGACCGGAAAAGGTGCCAGGAGGAAGAGAGGAGGAGGGTACAAGACAGACTTCTTAAGACTAAGAGCAGGGACTCCAGGTCTGTTGAATTGTCATAATTAATAGCGCTGAAACCCAATATTTTTACTTACCGACACCTTTTGTAGCTTTCAATTTCTGATTCCAATTATCTACTTTTTCTTTTTACTTCTTATTGAAGAAAAAACTCAAGAAAAGATCGAGAAACAATGAATAGTGAATAATTTTTTCTTTAGTTAATATCTTCAATTACTTTTTTTTATCAAGGGCCAGCATCTTAAGGGCCTTGTCCCTACGTTGTTCCTAGCCGGGCAAAAGTTTATTGATTATAAAAATGAATTGCTGTGAATATCATTGATATTGGCCGCTGGAATTTTTTAATTTAATTTGTTATAAATTATTTCTCCTGATTTGAAACAAAATGATTAGAACTTATTACAGTTAATAGTGGATTCCCTTTAGGAAGCAAGAGCTAGACGAGCTCCTGGAGACGACTACGCAACAGATGGTAAAGTACGAGTTGGAGCATAGTTCGGGATACTACCGCATCTACCCGCCCTTGCCTGACAGCGGACTGCAGGAGAGCAAGTACCTCAAATTCTTCGAGCACAGTGGGACCCTCTTCTCCGAAACAGTGGCCAGCAAGGCGAGAGGGGAGGCCGCCCGGCAACTTAGGGAAGACCTCAAGAGCAAGGTCGACACCAGTCCTAGTCACAAGGACAAGAATAAACAGTCGGCACAGCATAAGTCAGATGGAAGTGTGCGGCCGGAAAGTCCGGCTGGGTTGACTAAGAAGAGGATTCTTCAAAGGCCGGTGTCCCAGAGACTACTGCAGGCAAAGAAACGAGATGTGGGTTTGCAATTTAAAAACAACCCCAAAGCAAAGTCACTAGACACTGCATGTATGCTGGCGGAACAAGAGCGCCCGACTAAGCTGAGATTTAACAACTGATAGATATGAAATGATATTAGATCACATGTAAAATAGATATAGTGTAGCTAGAGACTGTTACATGTCAGCAGTACATGTCAGATATCTTATACATTCATTAGCATTTTTTCAAACGAATTCAAAACATTTGATTTAAATTAGACATCCCGCAGAAACATGTAATGTTGACATGTAAAGATGTAACATGTAATTTGTACTCTTCAATAGTTGCTAGATGTCAGGAAATAGTTATATATCATCGCTTATTACTTACTGAATAAATAGTTCATCTTTACATGTATTTTGCATGCATCAGTGGCTCTAGGATCTAACAAACATTCCACCTTCAGTTAAGTATCTGCCAAAAATTTTAATTTTCACGCGCAGTTTTGTGTTACCGGAGTTTATTAAAGCAGGAAATATTGTGTATTTTTGCATGTAGTGCTGACATGTAACACTGTGGCTTAAACTAAGACTGCTAAGTAAGACTGTAACACTAAGGCTTGACCTCCAGATTTTATTGATAGTATCGGTAATATCCCAGTGAACAAATTATATAGATGTAAAAGTCACGATCTCTGACATAGTAATGGTATTATATCCTTACAACATCAGAAGTCATGAATTTACTACGTTTCAGTCGCTCACAGGAGTTTCATCGCTATTATGGCTTCTTAATATAACATTACTGTGAACTGCCTAAAGTTTTATTCGAAACCGAAATAACCCATAGTTCTGCGAGTATCTTAAGATCTCGCCAAACTTTCCAATTCCCTATTTAAAGTTAAATTCATCTTCCAATAAGGAATGATCAGAAACTTCTTTGTAGGTTTCTTTGCTCAAGCTGCATCCCATCATGGAGCACGTTGTTCACTCATCTACCTCTCCCGTCGCAATAGATTCCCAAAACTCCACCACTGCCACAGTTGGTACCAATACCAGTTGTGGCGATGGAACCCCCCAAAGTCCCTATTTTAAACCCGAATGGCCCTGTATAATAGTATCTCTCCAAAACGGGGGCTACTGGGCCCAAATGTCCCTCGGGCCCCTTCCCTCTGACGCCCCTGCTCGAAGTCGACGTCGAATCAAGTGGAGTGCCGTAGAGCACTATAGCAAACAGGTCTACAAAGCCACAACACAACTTAGTGCACCGATAGTGTGCTAATTGATTCACGTAGATATTTGACTCCGTCCCAAGTACCATCGGATTCGACTCCGGAATTAATTTTGCTGTTTGTAACAGTCGATGTCACAAATTCACGAAAACTGCTAACGTACTATTTTTAGTCATTCAAATCTGTTCCATTCTCAGTGAATCGATTGGTTCCAATTGATACCAATGCTTCTTGATTTCCGTCTGTCTGACTTCTCAATGAAACTGCTCCTTATCCTACAGCAATCAACAAAATGACTGAAAAACTGAATGCTTTTCTTGGACTGAAGAAAAAATGTGTTCTTTTAAAGATAATAAGTCAATAATTACTGTTCATTGCCGGAAATTCATTATTTCAACGATTGCACATCAAAGATTGGAAATGTTTTCGGCAAATTCGGGGCTAAGTACTCACTTTAGACCTCTAGAATTAGCTAAAACAACAACACCAACCAAACACACACACGTGGACAAATTGTAACTCACATTTTACCAAAAGTCTTCATTCTTCAGGCTCAGAGTAAAGTTTTCACGAGACTTTTAGAATGATGATGATTACATTGGTCGGCATTCGAAAAAAAAACATAATTAAATTTCAATCATCTCTGTTCCAGGGAGCACGATCTCAGTCCATCTCCAGGATCTCGAATGAGGTCACACCAGCTGGGGCAGCCGATACCATGGATACACGGACGCCCCTGGATATCTCTGAGGAAGATATTCTTGAGAGGCAGAGTGTGATGTTGCAGAGGGACAACTTAGTGAGGAGTCTGGGTGTTGTGGAGTTAGTGCACAGACTGCTCCAGTCCTCCCAGGCACCCACTGGATACCCGCCAGTGTTCAAAGACAAAGTGGTCAGTTCTTGTGTCGGTATTTTTAGTCTCTCGTGTAAAAAAAACTTCTTTAGGGAAATTTTGCATTCGAAAATTTCTTAACATTCTTATTTAAAATACTGATCGTTAACAATGCCTTAAGGTCACACTGATTTTGTCTTAGTTTTTTATTAAGTCAAGTTTTACAGACGAAGGTTTTCAGAATTTAATGGCACATCATTTAGTAACATCCTCAAAGAGAGTAAATAGTTAACAAATCAGTCTGGAAACCAAGACAAAACAAACTGGTAATAAGATTTTGGAACAATTAGTGTTTAATAACCTATTTAGGCTTATACTGAAACCACCATTCATGCGTAATAATAGGTGTCCAACCTTTTTACTCCTTAACATTTACCCTACCACATACATTTTCACGCGAAAGATTTTTTACCGCTCTTTAATTTAAAACTTTAAAGTATTTTACCCCTCAACCACTTTACTCCGCTTTAATCCTGTTTATCAAACACTCCTCGAGCTAAGTCTATGGAAATTGAAGCTTGCGAATTTTAAGGTAATAGTCTTACTTGCGTCCGAGAACAGACCAGATTAGGACTCAGTTTTGAGTATCAAAATAACCTTCTACTTCGATTATCAATGAATTCTATCTATAATTAATTAAACTGATTGGTTTGACAAATTTTCTTTCTTCTTCAGCATTACTCATAAGCAATGTTCTTAATTATGATAATTGGTTGTTTCTTTAAAATGTTTGCAAAGAAACATTACCGGCGTTGTCTCGAAAAGTAACATTTGTTTTGACCAACTTTTTTTTACAGATGTCTCCTTGCACCCTACCGGAAACTTCCTAAACGCAAAACCGCCAAAATCTCATAATAACTGCTAAATCATTAGAAAATTTGAGATTGATTTGCTTGAATCCTATTTTAAACAAAGCCGATAAACAACAAGGATATCCGTTTACTGTGCAAGTAGCACAGAATATTCCGACCATAGTCTTAAAAAATGCAAGATTTTTTTTTCAAATTAGTGTCGTTTTTGGCGTGTTGTGATAAAAGGAGCTGAACGAAAACCTAAAGATAGGGTTTATTTGACACTCATAGTAAAATAAGCAAAATGATAAACACTGTTTGGAGAAAAATGACTAGAAAAACGAAAAAGAGAACATCAAAAAAATTCGAAAAATTGTTGTTTAAATTTTTTTTGCAGTTTTTTGATTTTTTTAAATTAACACGAAAAACCAAAAATTTCAAAAATGTTGTTCAATTTTCGTAATTCAGTTTGAATGTCGTTCGAATCACGACTGTTAGAGCTTTCATAATATATCACTCAACTCTTTCCGATGATTATGTGTGGTAGCTGATTTTGCGTGGAAAAAAAGAAAAAAACTAAAACATACCCAAATACAAAGTTCCTCCCCTTTTTTCAAAAGTTCGGAACAACAAGGCTAGCCGGTTGTTGTGCAAAATGCACAGAAATTTCCGTCTATAGTCTTAAGAAATACATTTTTTTCTTCAAAGTAGTCTTTTTTTTCTTGTGGTATGAAAAAAAAATCTTAACGAAAAAGTAGAATTTAGAGAAATGCGACAGTCATAATCAAACTGACCTATCTGAAAATAGTTTTTTTTTTAAATGGCTAAATTTTTTTGTATTTTTGAACTTTCTGATTACCAAATTGGCTGTAAAAAGTCTCTGAAAGCTTACTTTACTCGACTAAAACTAAGTTGTTACGGCTTAATATAAGCTTAAATAAGCTATTGTAAGCCTGCACGCTCACCTTATTAGCTCGAAGTTTGACCAAAAATAAAAAATTTTAAACCGGTTTTTCTCGAAACTGAGAAAATCTTTCAATATTTTTTATGTCGTTCGATTTACAACTAGAAGGGTTTTAGTATGATTTATCACTCGACCCATTTTGATGATTTTTGTGGTACCTGATTTTTTTAGAATGGCTAAATTTTTTGTATTTTTGAAGTTTTCTGATTACCAAAATGGCTGTAAAAAGTCTCTGAAAGTTTACTTTACTCGACTAAAACTAAGTTTTTACGGCTTAATATAAGCTTAAATAAGCTATTGTAAGCCTGCACGCTCACCTTATTAGCTCGAAATTAGACCAAAAATAAACAAATTTGAACCGGTTTTTCTCGAAACTGAGAAAATCTTTCAATATTTTTATGTCGTTATAATTACGACTAAAAAGGTTTTAGTATGATTTATCACTCGACCCATTTTGATGATTTTTGTGGCACCTGAATTTGCAAGGAAAGTAAAAGGAAAAAAAGAAAAACTAAAACACATCCAAATACAAAGTTCCTCCGCATATTTCAAATGGTCGGAACCAAAAGAATTCTTTTTTTTTTTCAAATTGCCTGGTTGTTTGTTCATGATTTGATGAAAGTATCGATACGAAAGAATGGATTATTCGAGCCAGGCATATTCGTTTTTAATAATAATTTAGGCATATTTTGCAAATTTTATAGAAAAAAATATTTAAACCATTTCCTACATTTTTTTATGAAAGAAAATTTCTTTTATGAAATAAAGTATGTAATTCCCAAGAGGGTGCTAAAAACTTTTCGAAAGCTACTTTAACTTTGCCCTATTCATTAACCTTTTATGCTCATTAGCTTAATGTGCTCGAAATTAGGTTAAAAGGTTAAAATTTCAAAGCGAATCACCTTTGAATGGGCTTTAGTATGATCGGTCACTCGAACTATTCCGGCGATTATTTGTTGTATCTGATTTTGCACGGAAAAAAAAACAAAAAACAGTGATCGGAATAATGACTTTTTAGGCCGACATCAAAGATAGCGCCTTCTTAAAAATAATTTATTTCATGAATTTGACAACTGGATAAAATAATGTGGGAGTGAAAAGATTCGATTATGAACAGATTCTAGAATAAAACTATATGGAGTAAAACGGTGTACGGCAAAAAGTAGGCGGGGCAAAAACAGACCGAAAAAAGATAATAACCATAGATATTTGCGTTTTAAGTCAGAAACTGAGAAAAAATTGAAAAACTTTTGGGAAACAATAAACTTTTGAGAAACGATAGGTCTTAAAGATAGTCGTTTTTACAAAATATTTTCAATATTTCTGCAATTTGGATGCTTTTAGGAGTCCTTCCGTGAAAAGTACAACTTAGCCCAGTACGGAGTTGGGGGTCCCATCAGCGCTCATAGACCCCCGATGATGGCCACTGGAACCACCCAAATAGTCGCCAAAAACCTCCCAGCGCCCTCTTTGCCCCACAATTTGGCAGCCAGGGCCAAGCTGATGGCGTTCAACAAGCCACGTGGAACCAGTGTTGCCGGACACTATGACCGCATAGGGCACTCGGCCAGTTCAGAAGACATGATGAGACAACAACAGCAACATTACCAGCAGCATAATGGAGACAATGGATCCGGAGGCGCCAGTGGGCTCATGATCAAGACAAATCCATCAAACAACAGATTCATGCTCGAAGCTCGTTAGTGTACAAAGCGGTGTTTATCAGGGAGCGGGTGACGTGTAGGGGGTTTGATTTTATAATGATTCACTCGATCTTACCATTTAAATTTAAAGTTGATTTGAGCAGTATTGTCTTACGACAAATTGTCTCTTTTTAAAATTTTTCAGGTATTCACCGTTTTTGTTTATAAAAAGTAAAATGTACCGTCATTAAAATTCGTTAAAAATGACGTTAAATTGTGTAGTGACACGTAAAAGTTACTATAACGAATATTCTCGAAAGTATTAAAGTTTCAATTTCTCTAAGAACTTCATTTTTTGACTGATTTGCCAAATATTTCCTGAATTTTACCAGGTGGCCCATCACTAACTGGGGGAGCGAACTCTGCCTCCTACCAAAAGTACAATGTGGGCGGGGTCCAGAGTGGAGGCGGGGCTGCCCAGCTGGTGGCGAAGGGGGGAGGGGGCTTGACAGGGGGAGACATCATATCCGCTTCATTCCATGCACCCCACCATTCTAATAATATCAACAGAGGACCGGCCATCAAGTGAGTGAACCTGTGTTCGCGGGGAGGCGGAGGGTGGATGTTTTCCTGGCCATAGTTGCCGAATACCATAGTGAATACACTCAATGTGATCGGTTCATAAATGTTAGATTTATTAAAAGCATTTCCCCATAGTATGTTTGTGTTCTGTCTTTGTTCACCCTTCACTGTGAGAAAAAACAAACTGATACAAGGATAGCCGGTTACTGTGTTTTTTTCTGCGTTTTTCTGCATTTTGTGATAAAACTATCTGAACGAAAAAACATTATTTAGGCATATTTGAGAGTCATAGTAAAATAGGTCGATTGGAAAACAGTTTTTGAAGAAAATAACTAGAAAAGAGCTAAAAAATTTAAAGTTTCGAAATTTTTTTCATATTTCTTAGCAGAAAATTTTCAAGTTTTTGATTCCCAAAATTGCGCTAAAAACTCCAAAAACTACCTTTACTTGAGCAAAATTAAGTTTTCACGGCTGAAATTAGGCTTACATAAGCTATTGAAAACATACACGGTCACCTTATTAGCTCGAAATTAGACAAAAAAATCAAAAATTTCAAACTGATTTTTCTCGGCACTGTGAGTAAATTTCAAAATTTTTAAAACGTCGTTCGAATCACGACTGAAAAAACTTCAATAAGTGCTTCAATATGATATATCATTCGACCCATTCCGATGATTATTTGTGGTACCTGATTTTGCGTGGAAAACAAAAAGAAAAATACTAAAACACACCCGAATACAAAGTTCCTCCCCATTTTCAATGGTCGGAGTAAAAAAAGTAGCCTTGATACATGTTACGAGCTTGCCAATCACGAGACACGAACTGTTATGAAAACGCCTGACAGTTATCGCTAAGCTATTTCAAAGAATTTTCGATATACGAGAAAAATGTCAATTAAATTATTGGGACAAATTTGTGCCTACTGATTTGTATCAGCAAATTTACTGAATAACATGATAGCGAATCAAAAACAATTCTTGATTTTTCCAATCACTTCACTTATAATATTAAAGCCTTCTACGTTATTTGGAATTCCAAAAAAGTTCTTTCGTTTTCGAGAAAATATTTATGAGTTTTACCGTTTTTCAGACTAGATGACAGTAATTTACCTATGGCACGCGATTTTAAGTCGAATCCTCGATTAAATTCTCCAAAACTGTTAGAGTTTTTCACTTATTTTGATTTTTAATCATAAATCAATCGTGTTTTTCCTAAAAATGATACCGAAATAAGAAAAAGTTCTTATTTTGATTTTTTTTCAAGTTTTTCTCCATCTTTGATTGTTTTTTTTTATAACTTAGTGTAATTAAAAAGATTCAGTGCTTCAACAGATGCACAGCAACCAGTTAACCTTGCTTAAGATTAAAACTGTTTTGTCTTTATTATTTTGTATCTCGAATTGCAGTTTTTATATCTGGCCGACTGCAGGTCAAATTGTTCCGACCGCCGTTTTAGTTGCCAAAGCAAATTGATATATTTTAAAAAATTATTGATAGAAAAAGTAGCTTCAAAAGTTCATATCGTTCTGTTAATTTCTCGCCTTTCAATTTAATTTTCACACTAATGAGCCTGCGAGCGTTAGTGTATTAGTATGAACCTTCTTTTTTATTCCTTACTCGCAAATAAAAGAGTTCAGTGAAAGTGTTCATTTATATGGAAATTTTAATGTAGCATTGGAAATTGCATAGTATCTGTTGTCTGTTTTATTTTTGGCTAGTGTTTAAATTTAAATAAGAGTTCGTAGTGCGTGAGATTAATAATCTCTAGGTCGCAGTAGGCCGTAGGCTCGAATCCGAGACGTAGCTGAATTTTTACTAATTCGAGGCTTATCTCTACTTTTTTTGTTTTTGCACTTTATAGAGCTGCTTTTTGTCGTGTTTTCGCTAATGTCTGCGAAGCGCAGCTTCGCCTCCGTGTCAATTAATACTAAAATTCATATTTTTCACTTGAATGTTTTGGAAATTTAATTGAAGTGTAATTTCTCGTATTTTTTGCTGCAGCGTGCTGCAAATTTGAATTTTTAGCTGCATTTTGTTCGTTTTTCACAGAAACCTTTTAAATGGAAAATTAAAGGCTTAGACTTTGGCCATTCTGCTTTCCAATTAATTGGCAGAACCGTTAAAACGTTAAAAATTCACAAAACTGGAAATTTTCCAAGGATGCTGAATGGGATTTGATCGTATCGAAAATATAAAAGAAGAAAAAATAAAATAAAAAAAATTGTTCATCAAAAGCTGCAAAAATTTTTGTATTCATATAAAATACTAAAGTTTAGCCCATTCGCGCGAAAAAAATTGATGTAGCCTAGATTCTTTCATTACACCCGCGGATTAGCAAACATACTTTTATTTCGCGATTTTTTACTTTTTTTCAATTCAGCTCTTAATTGAAAGTGTATTGATGAGTTCGAGTTCATTCGAAAAAAGTACAGGTTTTTTATTTAAATTTATTAGATCAAATTTTTTTTTCACTAAAAGTTGAAATTCTTGACGCAATTAACTGAGATAGCTTGCAAATTATTCAATTTTTTTGGATCTACTTGATAACTTCCCCAATATGGTATCTGCTAATGAATCTCAAGCCCTGAAGAGAAGCGCGTAAGTAAGCTTCAGAGACTTTTTTGAGAATTTGCTGCATTGTGATTGGTCTATAATTCGACTAATTTAGCCTTCCTTATTTTCTCTTCTTAAAAGGGAAGAAATAGTTAGGTAGATCCTTATTTTTGTTTGACCGGTCTTTTAAAGAAGTAACAAGCAACGCTTGTGCAGTAGGATTCGTTCTTTTTTTGCAACCTAACTTGCAGTTTTTGTGCTCATTTTCTTTGTTTCGTTTCGCGCTTAGTTCAAACTGTATTTAGCGTTAAATTGTGTGTGCTTTCTTATTTCATTTCAATCTTTGCTGCCTGATTGTTTATCCGACCATTTGAAAAATGGGGAAGAACTTTGTATTCGGGTGTTTTAGTTTTTTCTTTTCTTTTTCTCATCAAAAATCAGGCACCTCAATTAATCACATCGGTATGGGTCAAATGATTTAACATATTAAAGCCTTTTCAATCCTCATTTGAACGGCAATTAACAATTTTGAAAAGTTGTCCCAGTGTCGAGAAATCGAGAAATATTTTTTTGAAGTTCTTAGCACCATTTTTAAAAAAAAAACACTTCAAAAGTCAAAACAATTTCTGCAAATTTTTTTTTTAATGTGAAAATATTTTTTGAAATGTTTTTTAGCCATTTTAGGACAAAAACCGTTGCACAATTTGCTTATTTCACAGTGACGGTCAATTATACTAAAATTTAAGGTTTTCTTTAAATCCTTCCATTAGACCACGCCCAAAATACGGTTGAAAGCAACTATCCTGAAGTCTGTTTGACCTAATGGTGTAGTGGACTGTCTAACTTTTGCCTTTTAATCATAAGTTAGTGAGGCCATCCGATCTCTAGCTTTTGCATGGTCTTTGAATAAAAATCGTACAAAGATTTTATTGCTTTCATGCACCGTTTTCAACGTTTCAGACCAAAAAAGAGCACTTTGTTTGACTTGTTCGGTGGATGAAAGCTTTCTTAAATTATTTCAGACAAAAAACTGGCAGGTACCTTCTAGCAATCAGAATGAACGTGATCCTAAATAATCTCGCCTGAATAAATCTTGCAATTTATCTGAAAATGTGCGAACTTCAGATTAAATGCAGCTTCCAGAATTCCTGTTTTTCTCTAAACTTTTGCGCTGAAGAGACTGTTATTCTTGCATCTCAAAAAATTTTATTCTTTGCACCCATGTACGGTTTGGCTTGCATCAAGGTGAATATCTGAATACTCTGACTGTTACGCTGTTACTGGCTTTGACAATCGGTTCAATAATAGAGTTCAGCTAGCTGCAATGGAGTTCAGCCAGCTCGCAGTGCAATTTATTTCAAATCCTAGTTGAAATATACTAAAGAAATACTAACAAAGTGTTGTTTTCATTGAATCAGGGTCAAAGCAATTCAAGGCACCCCTTGTAACCCACTAGAGGTGCACAATAGTCATGGGTTAGCGGTGGTAGTGCCCTACAGCAGGGCGGTATCAGCCAACTTAAAACCGACCAAGAATTCTTCAAACACCACAGTACTGCAGACAGCAGTTCGTATAAAAAGCGGGGGCAATTATAGAAACGCCCAATTGGCCAGAGAGAATTGTTTCGTGGTGCGAAACTCGGCAAAAACGAATTGACTTGAAAATGGTAATCGGTCGCATCATCGCAGTTCGACTATCCATAGTTGCATAGATTCACCCTCCGGAGCCACTCAGCATCGATTCATGTCATTTTTAGTCTGTTTTTCTGCTGGTTCTCAAACCGAGATTTTAACGCTAAAACTGGTATAATTATTAAGTCTAATGCATGGATGATTGCTGTCGGCAGCGGTTTTTTTTAGGTCGACCAAATTGATTTTCTGAGCCCTCCCAAATCACTATAAATACCATATTTATTTTGTTGAAATTTTCGGAAAGTTTTGACCAAAAACGCGTTTTTTTCCAAAAATGGATATCTCAAAATAGTACAAAGTGGGGACCCTTTGAGTCGGCAGGGTATCGAATCCCTGAGGGGGGGGGGGGGCATCTGCCTCTCCCCTCTAAATCCGCTGCTACATCTCTGTGTAATTTTGTCCAAAAAAAAAACGAAATTTAGAAGTTCATCGACGAATTGTTTGAAAATCATTCAATTCAAACAATTTCATGTAAATGCTTTTCCCTTTTTTATGATTTTTTATTTTAATCTTAGAGTCCTTGTTAACAATCACAAATCTATTTCTAAAACTGACTTAAATTTTATGAAGTGTTTTCCAGCCATCACATTTTATCCCTGCTCAGATTTTTAACTTAGATCAATTTTGTTTTGACCAGGTAGCTTTTTTTGTGTGCTAACTATCTGTGATGCTTTCAGATCCTTCCTCCGTCCGGACCTCAGGAGTCCAATGTTTCCGGGGAAGTACTAGAAGTCCTACCCAATCCCGGGACAGAATATTGCACCAAGAAATACATATCTTTCTTCCCAAGAGCAACTAACATATCAGAGACACGCAACACTGCTCAAAACTACCCCACTTCTTGCCAAAACCCAGAACTCAAACCATGAATTTTGAATTTTAATTTAATTACTACCGAGAAATATGTAAGCTATAGTCTAACTGCTAGCTTGTGAAGCTATAGAGTTGTCTTAAGTATTATGGAAACAAATATTGTCGATAATCATAATTAAATCAATTTATATTTTTACTCAACTACTTTTTTCTAATTATTTAATAGTAACCCAGCTTTTTTCTTTGCTTAAACTAGTCTTGCTTTTGTTTTCAGACTGAAATTTTCTGACTGAATTATCAATCTAATTCTTCTGTTTTTTTTTTCAACAATTTATCAATAATTAATTAGTTTTATGGCACATTAAGCTATTCAGTCTTCTCTCACAAGCTAAAAAAATAATCAAGAAAAATTGTTGATACTGTGTGTGAAAAAAAATCATAAAAATTTAAAACTTTTTCAGTTTTTTAAATTAGGCTAGTCGGAACATTTTGAGCTGCGTGCATAAAAACCTGCTACTCTTGTTCGAAAATTTAGTCGACTTTTGTTTAGATCACCCAAATTGATTTTCCAGAGCTCCCAAAACACTAAAAAGACACTGTTTCGGCCAAACTTCTGTGCTGCAGGCAAAATTTAAAAAAAAACAGGCCAAAAATTTTGACCAATAAAGCGGTTTTTTCGGCGCGTGCTCCCACTCAAAATTAATATTTTTAAAATTTTGAAAATTTGAAAAGGCGCCTTTGAAAAATTCTAGGGTCTATCGCCAAAAATGGATATCTCATTGTCGTACAAAGGGGGGACCCATTGGGTCGGCAGGGGGTCGAATCCCTGAGGAAAAGGTGTCCCCCTGCACCCCCTCCCCTAAATCCGCCCCTGCTCAAAATTTTTCTTCGACACGAAAACTTATTCAATAATTAAATATATAAAAATTATTTGCTAATCTAAAAGAAAAAATGTTACACATTAATTTTAGCTCGTTCCCAATCTACCATAATTAGAGTGCCTAAACCTGCGCGTGAAACATTATTTGAACCTAAAAATTGTTACAAGTTGGATAAGTATTCGGAACAATGAAATAAAAAAACTAGATATGCAAACAAGACCGCTCGTATATCTCCACAAAGGTCTCAATGTTTCGATTGCCCCTTACAGCTGAATAAAATGTTTTGGCTTCATAAATTGATTGATAAAATAATGGAAAAACTTTTTAAAAAATGTTCATGGGCGGATTTTGAAAAATTTGACAACCTTTTTTTAGGTCGACCAATTTGATTTTTCGAGCGCTCCCAGAGCACTATAAAAACTCCAATTTTGACAAAGAAAAACATTTGCACCACAATCAAATTTTTGAAAAAACAAGCCAATAAGGCGTTTTAGGGCACTTCTTGGAAAATTTGGACCAAAAAGTTTCCTTTTTTCGGCGCGAGCTCCAGTTATTAAAAAAAAATTAGCATGTATATATACCCTTTGCTTGGTGGAGGGTTCGAATCCCAGGGGGGGGGGGTATCCGGCCCCCCGCTCCTCCTAAATCCGCCCCAACAGGTATTAAAAACTTTCAAGTTTGAGCTCATAACTACGATATTTTGACCTCCCAACTACGAAATCTGCCAAAAGCGCTTACTTAAAATGTCGAAACTTGACTGAGTAAAAAAATCAACCAAGCAAAAATGTTCTGTCATGTTCTCCGAAAGTCAGAAGAATAATGGCGAGCTGTAAATCCACCAATGATTTTTGAGCTAAACTGAAATTCAGAACATCAGCCAAAATATACTGAATAATCAGCCTCATACAATTCAGCCAGATGCTCAACTGAATAAATGAGGTCAAAAATAGCTATATTCTAACAAGACATTGGGAGGTGGAGCATCATTGTCAGGTAGCTACCACTTGATCTGCTACGCTTAGATTTAGAAGAAGACGTATAAGCGCTTGAACTAATTTTTAACGCTTGCCCAAGATCTGTTACCTTCAAGTGGTGGCGAGCGAAGACCGTATTCCCGGGAATACGGAAACAAAAAGACAGATTAAACCAGGGAACTATAGAGAAGGTCCAAAATCCCGAAAGGGAGAAGAACCAAATCCACCCAGAGATCATGTACCACAAAGAGACGACCCGAAAAGTTCTTGCCAGGACAGTCAACGATGTTGCAAAGCGTTGGACGGGTTTTCAATTACAGAGTCAAATGATCCTGCCGATTTGGCTCTGACGTTATTAGCTAGAGCAGGTGATGTGCACCCAAACCCCGGGCCGAGAGTCAAGTGCCCAGTGTGCACCAAAGGTATTTATGACATGACTCAAGAAAGTGTTTGGTGCGGAAGAGGGGGATACGTCCACTTGAGGTGTACGAACTTGACTAACAGCCGCCAGTGGAATAAAGATTTCGACTGTCACAAATGCAGCTGGTGCGCATTAGTACAGAAAGGCGGGGACCCAAGGAAAGAAAGAGAGAAGAAAAGAACAAGGAGGAAGAACATTAGACTCCAGAAAATGAGAAGAGAAGTACAAGAGATAAAAAACAACAGACATTCTAACTTGGAACCTGCAAAAAATGTCTATGCAAGTCAATCACAGAAGAAAACTGCGGCGTTTTGCATCTACTGCCTCCGAAAAAAGACATAACATAGTACTAATGAGCGAAATAACGGCAGAAACACCAGGGGTGATCTGGCTCGGAGAGGGACGCAACTCAGCCGCGGTAATACATTCAACAAAATTCGCCTTACTACTCGGAGGTGCCTGGAAACAAAGGTGGATAGATGAGGGCCAGAAAAATTGCTGGGGTGAAAGAGTAACATCAGCAACAGTCGCACACCTTCGACTAGTAGCAGGATACCAACCTCTATGGCAGTATGGAGAAGAGACGATGGAGATATATAGAAGAGAGCTGGAGGAACAAGTGACCACATCCACTAAACAAGAATGGTTAATAATAGGGGGAGACCATAACTCACATATGGGTTATGGAGGCCATCGGCTCTTCGCAGACGGCACTAAGGGTCCTTTCGGAATGGTAATTAAGGACTGTACAGGGGATGATTTCCTGCAATGGTGCGAGGATAACAACTTATGCCGGGCAGACTCCTCCGTATGGATGGATTACAGGGGCACGTGGTTCTACAGACTGAATGTCAAAGGGTATGAACTGGATGGTTTTGTCCTGAAAAAACATCAGAGAAGCAGACTCTTGAAGGACATCAAGGTAATAAGAGAAGACTCCTTTTCTGACCATCGCCCTAACAGATCACAATGAACGTTTGGAAACCCCTCTTCAAGGAAAAATCTGATAAACCGGAAAAAAGGTAGACACAGACAAACTAAGACTGGAGCCGTTTGTAAAGAAATTCAAAAAAAAACGGTACAAAACAAGGAACAAGAACTGAAAACAATGGGATGGACGGAGGCGGCAAAAAACAATCCATGGAGCAGCATTAGAAATATGCGGTAGATCAGACAGGAACGTGAACCTGCCATTGAGGAAAGGTCGGGAACAAGAATATGAAAATTTCCGAAAAAAATATAGCTCAAACAGTTCGAAAAACGCAGCGAGGGGAAACGAGACAATCAACAGAGTACATGAACACAAGAGAAGAAGTACGGCGGCACCGGTCAGCTTTCAAAATGCATCAAAGACAATGGGAGAACCAATATTGGGATACCGTCATTGAAGAGGCCAAAGATGCCAGCGAGAGAAACGACTGGGGCAAAATGTACAAGACGCTCAAGAAACTGGGCCTAAGAGACGATAAGAGAAGCGCCCCGAGTGAGCAGTTCTCAGCGGAAGAATTTAAAACACATTTTGAAAAAGTATCTAAAGAAAGATCAGAACACTCGTCAGAAGAAATGCAGGAAGTCATATCCTGGTACCAGACCGGAGGGAAGAACAAGAGGTAAAAAGAGCAGCAGAAAAGCTGGAAAAAGAGGTAACAGTAGGAGAAATGCTAGAACAGATGAAGGAAATGCGTGATGGAGCGGCAGGAAAAGACGATGTCACCATAGGGATGATTAGGAAAAGTAATCCTGAAATCCAAATCGTAATGGCCGAGAAAATAAAACAAACGGCCGGAAGAAATCCTGATGAATGGGAAAACACTCTTAAAGAAGGAGTGGTAATACCTCTATACAAAAACAAGGGGAAAAGGGACCAAATGAACAATTACAGGGGTATTTGCTTGCTATCCATGGCATCCAGATTTTTAGCTAGGGTCATGGCATCAAGGTCAGAGACTGGAGTGAGGAAAATAAACCTGTTGGATGAGAACCAACAAGGATTCCGGGTCGGAAGATCGACTGCTGATACCACACAAATTTTGGTGAGAATGCAAGAGGAGCTGATAAATGAAAACATCCAATGAGAAAACTCAATTGAAGCCATCCTTTTGGATATCCAAAAGGCATACTCTCGCGTAAACAAACCCATTTTATGGGAAATGTTGAAAAACATTGGAATGAAGAAGGAAACAATAACCATCTTGAAAGGGTTGCACGAGCATACCATGTATGAGGTAAGGGGCAGGGAAGCCAATAGTACAATTTGGATGCCCCTATGAGAATTGAGGGAAGGATAAGCCACCTCACCTGTTCTATTCAACGTATATCATGCAACATCACATCTATCAGAATAGCCACAAAAACAAGACAAGAAAGAGCGCGCCAACCTATTGGAGCACCATGGCAGTGGATTCCAGGGAACTCTTTCCCCCCTAAAGACACGAAAAAGGCTAGTGGTAACTCTGCGACGAGGGTTCTAAGGTTATTCGAAGTGCTGTTTGCAGATGATACCACACTGATTGGAAAAAAAGCGAAATCGAAAACGGGAAACAC